CAGCTATGGACCATGGGAAGATGCCAAGAAAGAGTATGCAGCCTCACTGTTACACAAACAACGAGTTCTCAGGGCTTTTGATTTTTGATTTATCATGTTAACTATGTGACAAACAATGATTTTGAGAATAAATTACACATGTCTTAATGTGTTTAAACAGTTGCCCTGGGCACCAGGAATACAAACTCCGCCGAGGAAAGGATAGGTTGGATCACTGTGGAAAATGAATATACAAGAAGAGCCAAGCAGGTTGTGTGTACCTAGAATCATAGCCCTGGAGGGTGGAGTAGGGGACGTCGGCCAGTGACTGCCTTGTGTTGGAGGTCAGCCTAGACTACACAGAAAGCTCTAGGCCAGCCTTATCTTTCATATAAAACCCCTTTCCTATCTAATGAAACACAAAATAACATAAATGTGGGCTCTGACAGGAAAAATGCAGAGTGAGAGACAGGATGGGTTAAGGGAGAGACTTCCCAGGGAGAGAACACAGTGTGGAAGGGCACGGGACAAACACACACTGCCAGGCAGCAGACAGTGTTCCAGGAAACAATATAAAAGGTGAAGAATGAATAAAATCATGAGGGCAGAATCTAGCACCTTGCCAGGGAGCCATGGCGCCGCCGGGCGTTCAGTATGGTAGGAGGGATCCTAGGGACAGAGAACTGGAGCAGGCCACAGCCCTGGTATGGAGCTGAATTCATAAGTTATTTTAAAAAGTCATTTTCCAGGACAAAAGAAGAGAGTAGTTTGTTAACTTGGCTTTAGAACACTGACTCAAAGGGCAGTCAGTTACTCTGCACCTGAAACACGGCTTGAGAATAAAGGAATGAACAAGAGTCTATCTCAGTATCTAAATTACAGACCTGAGCCGGCAAGCCACTAGGAGCCTCCCAAGTGCTGATGTCGTCAAAGTCTCATCTCTTCCTTCTCTACTGCTATTAGTCGCTTCCTTTCTTGCATTAGAAATTCATGTAGAGATCTTATCTCTTGCTACAAGGCTAGACAGTTCCTGTTTATTCGTGTTCATTCTGCATTCCTAGAAACTCTAAACTACCCTTGGCGCTTAGTTAGCATGCAGATACTTGACAACCAGATGAAGAAAGGGCTTGGCTGTTTAAGTTTTCATGATTCACAATAGTTGTATCAGCAGCCGGAGAGCTAATGGAGGGGCACAACAGAGTCATCTAGGATGTATAACGAGCTGGCTAGCTGGCAAAGGCAGGAACTGCCCTTAACCCGGCATCTGTTAGGGCCAGTGTCGTGGAACATGCTGGGCAAGGTCCTGTAACAAAGTGAAGTGTGAATAAACCTTGCTTCTAACTGTCAGCAGTTTATGAACTAACACAGGTATGACAGACATGATGGCCCCATTACAAGCTGAGTCACAGAGCAAGGATCAAGCACATTCATTCAAGATAAAGGTTGTTAATGAAGCCCCGTGTGGTGGCTGAGGCAGGAGAACTGCCACAAATTCAAGGTCGACCTAGATAGACTAAGGTATGTTCCAGTTCAGCCAGGACTACAGTGTCAAAAACTAAATAATAATAATAATAATAATAGTACGTATTAGAGCATAGAGCTCTAGAACAAACCTTGCACCTGTTAGTTTACTAAAACGCACACCATAGCCTTTCCAATCAGGTGGACAAAGATGCTAACTAAAGTCAAGTCTGTTCCTACTCAGTGCGGTACTAGACATCCCAGCCAGTAAACAGCTGTCAATAGGCACAGGGTGAGAAAAAAAGAAAACTGTAGAAAACATAACAAAGTCAAATTATTCTACTAAAGATCAACTATTAAACATCACCTGTCGGTGGGAAGGGGGACACTGGGTAGCAGAAGTTAAAGGACTAACAAGACTGGGCCAGAGAGATGACTCAGTGGGTCAGAGCCTTGCAGCTCCTGCCAGGGAGCCCAGATTCCATTCCCAGCACACTCATCAGGTCACTCAGAACCCTCTGTAACTATAGTTCCTGGGAATCTAACAACTCTTAGGACCTCAGAATCCATATGTGGTACATATGCCTTCTCAGGCACACGCACATACACACATGTGAAATTCAATAAACATTTAAAAATAATAATTTCAAAGTAATCCTTCCTACATAAAGTGTTTTTAAAGAATGCCTAAGTTACATAAGAACCTCCTTCAAAATAGCAAAAAGAAAAAGAATAATTATTCAAATTTGTTCCAAACTACAACCAACCCAAATTTTTATTAACTGATAAATAGATTTCCATTTATCACATTCATATTATGGAACAAAACAGCAGTGGTCCTATAGTTTGTGTGTGCTTCAAACATTTTATAATTTAAAGAGGAAAAGCCTACCCCCATGTTCTCAGGAGTGTTTTTCTTTCTCTTAACCCTAGTGCTTAAAGTTTGCTTTATAAATCTCTTACTAAGCTCCAAGTCTGCTTTTAAAAAGACTAGTGACTTCCCTTGGCCTGATTTAACGGAAGGCAGTTCCCTCCTCCCCTGCACTGTGCTGTAACTGCTGCGCCTTAACTGTGCTTAGAACTCCCGCAGGCCCCACACAATTATCATCTTCTTAATCTTCCTCAAAGTCAAAATTTTAGCCCAGTTTATGAAAAGCACACCCTGGCCTACTCCTATGCTCAATAGCAGATAAAGAAGTGGCTTCCAGGGTATGGCTGGTGGTCCAAAGCAGGAGGGCTGCAGTTAGCAGGCAGCCTAGTTGGTTAAATTAAAAACATTAAATAAAAAAGAATACTGGAGATGCAGTGTGCAGAGTAAGTACTTCGAGGAGACACAAAGACTCAGGTTCAGTCTCTGATACATAGACACGGTGCAGTGGACTCTCTCTCAAGTACCACAATATGTTCTGGTAAACTCATCGGACAATAAGACAAGACTACTTAACTATATCTTAAGCAATATGAAGTTTAACTGTGTTTTACTTCCATTAGTTATATAAATTAGGTCACCTCAGTCAGTTCCCTGCCAGGCTTCAATCATTAACATAGCTCAAATAAAAGGTAAGGTTTAAAAATGTTTTATTGTTCAGCTTCAAAGTAACAAATACTTCACATTCTCGATGCTTCGATTTGAACCTTATTTACATAACAAATGGAGCACAGAGCCTTTTATGAGACATTTTCTAAAGTTCCTCAAATGTAACGTTTTGAATTTCACAGCAAATCCAACAGCTTGTCTTAGAAGCCACGTTACTAAAGAAAAAAATATGTCAAGTATTAAAAATTACAGGTCCAGGGCTAGGAATGTGGCAGATGGGTAGAGCACTTGTCCAGCCTACAGGAAGCCTCTGGCTTCGGTCTTCAGCACCACCTGCAGAAAACCAGCTGTGGCTGGCACACCGGGGAGCTTAGCCCTGAGGATGTGGGGTCAGGAGGGGCAGTTGTTCAAGGTTATCCTCAGCTACACAGCTGGAGTACAATAGACCCTGTCTGAATGAATGAATGAATGAATGAATGAATGAATGAATGAATGAATGAATGAGTTCCAAACAGAGACA